AAGTGAAAGGGGAGAAAAAATTACGTTTAAAGATGGATGATATTTTGATCTGATTACAAAATGAATTTAGGATTATGTCCGTTTTGATTTTTTAAAAAAAGCATGACATTCACTGTGTGAGGAAATCACACGTAGTGCTCAAGGTTTTAGATGTCTTTAGCAATACTTTACTGATATCACTGCACTTGTTAAACTGGCTCCTTATGCTTAGTGGAAACTACACGACTTTCAAAAATTCTCTGAATCGCTGCACTGTACTGTTTATTATGTGACTTTGTCAAGAGCAACTGCACTATTTCATTCAGAAAAAAATAAATAAATAAATAAAAGAAGAGGAAGGATTGGTTGGGGAGATGTGACCAGCGTTGATTGTCTGTTCTGCAAAGAGAACTGGAGGTAGCTCTTTTTGTACTGTCTGCCGTCAGGAATCATGTCATGTTTGTTTTTATGTATTTCTGTAAACCTGCTTTGTGACATTGTCCATTGTTAAAAGAACTATACAAATGAAATTGAAATGAAATTGAAATTGAATTTTTATTTTTGCTGTTCTTAACAACTGCTTGGGTATGACATGCCAAAAAAATTTCTTACTGAAATGAAATATTGTCTCAGACATTCATTAGCTGTTGTTGTCGTCACGCTACAAGATTCACTGCTCATTATTATAAACGTGCCTGAAAATATCAGAGAGTCTGTGACAGTTCGCAGAATGGAAAAAAAAACCACATCTACATGGTTGCCACAGGGACGTGTAGTTATTTATTGCCCCAAAATAGTCTAAGACAAGATTGTGCAACGTGATCTGTGCAGTAAGACAGCCTAGGAAAGATTAAAAAGTAAATAAAATATTTCCATGCCATTTTGGTGAAATACATTTATGCATTGAGGTGTCACTGTATATTATCAGAAAACCCAATTCTGGGCAAAACTTTTATCATTTCTTTTGTAACGTTTCATGTTGAATTCATCCACAGCGACTTCTAACGAAGCTGCTCCAGCTATATTAGCATGCGTACCTCGTCGATGTTGAAGTCGAAAAACAACTTGTTACGTTAGCGTACTCATCTGTCTATCACTATTGAGAGTAACATTTACATGAAACAAATATATCATGTAGGAATTCAGTTAAATTTTGTTTTATATCCTAATTTACTAGCTTAGTCCATGGTAGATACTTTTAAGGTCATAATTTGCAATTTGAGACACCTCATGTGTCTTTAAACTGCTCTTTGAAAGTATTAAACTCAATCACACTCATGAGCTGATGGAGTCTGACTATTTCCACATTACTGCATTACCCACATGGAGACTAGTATCATTTTCCCTAATTGATGCAAGACCAAAATGCTGGCCATCTGCCTGAAGAGGTTCAGTCCTAAAAATGACAACACAGATTCAAATTCAGAATGCAACAGCAAATTTAGCTGATATCCTGCTACTTATTAGGTCCTGGGCCCCTATTTTTGCAGCCGGTGAACAAATTCTGACACTGACATTACAGTCAGAGTAAAATATGACAGGGTGGGCTGTTACAAGAAAATAACTGATTCCAGGGTGATTACTGATTGATTATTTCCAAATAATCCCAAAGTAGTTTATTCCTCTTATACCACAGCAATTTGCTAACAAATTTTAATTTTTCTAATAATTAAAGAATGGCATGTCTTCTTTTTAATCCACTTATAGTTACATTTAATGTTGGTGAAAAAAGTTAGTTCCTGTTCTCATGTTATAGCAGCTATAAACAGTTCTTCCCTCACCAGCCTCTCTTTTTTCTCTCTGCTGAATTTAATAAAACGCAGCTTGTCATGTTACCGAGAAACCGAAAAAAACAAAACTCCTCTGCCCTGAAGATGTCTGAAAACTTACTGAATATAACAAAGTGCTGACACTGGAGACTCCTTCCATAAATGTCAGATAATAATTTATGTGATGAATGTTAAATAATTATCTCCTTACAGTAAACTTCACCATATCAATGATTTTTTAAATCTGTATATGTAGAGCGTCTGCTGTGAATGAGCTGTTAGTATAGAAACAATAACATATTAGAACCGGAGATTTGCAGCTGCACTACTGTCAGAGCTGCTGTTATAGAAAATTAATCAACACCTCCTGACCAAACAGAATGCAAAATTCAACAGTGCTGTAGGATAAATAAATATATATATAATTAATATTGGATTGGCTTGTGCTGTGTTCTTTAGGCCTGTATAATGTTAGTGTTAGCTAACACTGATTCAGCTCGAGTAATAATTAACAGCTGCTCCTGATGATAATATTTGTGCTTTGTAATTATATTAAATAAGCAGGAAAATCTAATCAGTGTCAAATTCACCGAAGCAAACTCTTTCAGAGCAAAATGATGTCCTTTACTGACAGTTATGTCTCTCTTATTCCTCTTGGGTCCTTATCAGGAGCCACTTTGTAAACTTCACACTTTATACAGGACGTAACAGAGAGTCACCGCCCTCCAGTGGATCAAGAACAGAAGCACATCCATCCAGGTTGGAGATAAAACATCGATCAGAGGAAGGATGAGAAGAGAGAACAGGTGGTGAGAATGAGTTTCCTGCAGAAGGATCCTTCCACGTCTTTGTGTTTAATCTTCACGGGAATTTGTGTCAATGATGCAGCTCATTTCACTCCTGCTCATTTTTGGGTGAACGACTGTTTCAACATGTGTTCAACACCTGAACTGGAGAGAAGTGGAAAAGATAGAAAACAGATGGAGGGAAAATAGAAAGAAGGACTCAATTCTCTGCCTCACTCACTAAATCTTATGTGCTCTTTTTTATTCCATCTCTTTATCTTTGTCACTTCATCCAGTCTGTCTTCCTTTACTTCTCAGTCCAATCTGACACTTTTTTCTACTCTATATTTTCTCCTATTGTTTTTTTCCCCCCGCTGGTAACATTTTTCCTTAACTAACTTAACTAACAGTATTTATAGTGTTAGTATTTAACAAACAGGGAACTTAAAAAAAAAAAAAAGGAAATTTGTCAATAAATTTGTCAGTAATTGAGTCAAAGGTGTTTGTATATACATGATGCTCTAAAAGCTGTATAATTGTTTTTTTCTTCAGAGACTTGTTCAGGGGGAAGAATTGGTAGTTGTGTGGCTCTGATGCCATATGAACAACACAAAACCTTCAGGAAAGCGTAATGTAACCAGAACTACTTACTGAAAGTCGGATAAAAGATTTTCTCTCATCCTACAGTGTTAAATCTGCAGTGTTGGATTTGTGTTAATTAAAACATTTATTGAGTAAGGAATAAAACACTCTGTTTCATGCTGTTATAGGAAAATAATCACTGAAAGGGTGGTGTGATGAAGTAGAGTCCCTGTTACCACCCCGAAGCTGATGTTAGAGCATGTCCCAAAGCAACTGGCCAACAATTACAATCGTTTATTTATTAATAAATTGCATGTCATATTTTTTATCCATTTATAATTACATTTGAAGTTGTGAGAACAAGTTAGTTCGTGGAACAAGTTAGTTCCTGTTCTCATTTATGTTATAGCAGCTATAAACAGTCCTTCCATCACCAGCGTCTCTTTTTCTTTATCTGTCTTGAAGTTAATAAGACAAAAGAACGCAGCTTGTCATGTTACCGAGAAACCTCAAAACATTACAGCTGACACTGGAGACTCCTTCCATAAATGTTTATTAAATGTCTCCTTACAGAAAACTTCAGCATGCCATTTTTAAAATCCTTCTTTAATAATTTATCTGAAGCTTCCACCGTACAAGTCCCTGTGAATGAGCTGTTACTATAGAAACGATAACGTATTAGAACGAGTGCATTAATATAAACCAGTGACTTGCAGCTGCACTACTGTCAGTGCTGCTGTTATAGAAAATTAATCAACACCTTCTGACCAATCAGAATCTAGAATACAAGAACGCTGTGGGATAACAGAATTTAATTTCTGCCCAATTTTTATTCCACTCCTCTCAGTATTTTATATAACTTTCACATTTCATTAGCACATAATCGCCTTTCTATCCGCTGTCAGTCAGAGGTTTAGCACGTACATGTCTCCAACAAGTTCAGAGTTTGGAACGTGTCCAAAGACGAGAACAAGATGTGAGCTGCCTGTGTTTGTTCCCATCATTGTAGACGCTCCCAGGAAAACTGGAAGTCATAGGTGCTTTGTAGTCTCACCGACAATGGACTCGCTTTACATGATTTAGAGAATTTCACAATTCCCAGAAGATCGTGGAATTCCTGGTTCTTGATGGTTGTTTGGTAAAAGTTCAAAGTGAGGGTCAATAGTGTTTTAATAGTGTAGTATTTCCAGCCACTGACCGAAGTTCAGCTGAATTTAAATATTTACTAAAATGTTCTTACTTATGTGAACTTATATTAGTCATGGAGGCAGTAAACATGTGCTCATTGTTTAGTTCATATTTAAACAATCTATTAATACAAGGGTTGTTGCCTTGTTCATATTATTTATTAATGTAAATGTGGCAGTTGTGAGAACCTTAATTCTTCTAAATAACCACCAGAAACAGAATCATTATTGAATGCAATAAACAATAGTCAATGGATTCAACATTAGATCTTTTTTTTAATGTCTGGAAGCTGTTAATTTTATAGAAAATTAAAATAGAAAATTTTACCTAATTCTGGGTAATTTTAATTTAATAGAAAATTAAAAAATGCATACATATCCACATAATATGCATATTTTAGGGATTTTTTTATATTTAAAATGTTTTTTTAATCACAGTAAAGGTGCAAATAAATCTCAGTGGTATATTTTTAATTATATATATATATATATATATATATATATATATATATATATATATATATATATATATATATATATAAATATATATATATATAGTGGTATATATATTATTACTTGCACACAATTTAGAGATGCCAGTCAGCCTACAACGCATGTGTTTGGACTGGGGGAGGAAACCGGTGTACCCAGAGGAAACCCCTGAAGCAAGGGGAGAACATGCAAACTCCACACACACAGGGCAGAGGTGGAAATCGAGCCCCCAACCCTGGAGGTGCGAGGCAAACATGCTAACCACTAAATCACTGTGCCCTCCTCCTAATGTAAGTATTAATTATTGAAATTACCTTTAACATTTAATCAAAGATTGTTGATTATAAGTTAAACATTATTTATTACATGCTGAAGTTTAGGGGTTTTACTGAGGTTACAAAACCTTGATGAAAAGCATTGTAAAAACCTACAGGACAAAAGATAAAGTATCTCATTGAGATAGAAATGTAATGAAAAGAGAGAGAGAGAGAAAGAGAGAGAGAGAGAGATTTAGTGAGCGGGGCAGAGAATCAAGCCGTCTTTATTAATCTGTGAATTTCCCCAGATGACGTAAAGAATGTGATTCCATCCTCTCTCTCTCTCTCTCTCTCTCTCTCTCTCTTTCTCTCTCTGTCTCTCATCTTTCCTCAGTGTGTCTCTCCTGATGCTGCGGTCTCTATGGGTGAGAGACAACAAAACACAGGTAAGCCTCGAACCAAGCTCCTGAACTTTCGAACCCTTTGCCTAATCTTTCTCATTCCTCACCTTCCTCCTTCTGTGTGCTCTGATTCAGCCTTTACTCATGGTATCCAAAACTCAGATGATTATTTTGGAAGTTTCGCCTGCATGTCCTCATTGTTATAATGCGTCTCCTGGCAGGACTCAGCTCAGACAGGAGTGTGTAGCGTAAGGATCAGTGTGCTTTGTTTGTCCCTCTTTATTACATGCCTGAGATCCTCGTGCTCTCGAGGAGGCTGAAATCACGGTGAGTCAGCAGTGAGTTCCTCGAGCATTGTTAACTGATGACAGATAACTTAGACAGCCCAGATTAGAGTGCCGTTAGAAGTGTGACTCAAAGAGCAGCGATTCACCCACACACATTTTACTGACTAAGTATGTGATGTTGTGGACAGGTGGGATGTGGGAGTTACAGTTTAAACAAGACGCATAAAGTCCTTAATCTTTAGGTTCTTTAGAATTTAAATACTGGAAAACCCAGAAATTAATTAAATGGTTGATATGGTGAAGTTTTCTGTGAGGAAAACTGTGTTTATTTACATTATTGAAGGAGTCTCCAGTGTCAGAGCTTTGTAACAGTCAGAGGTAGAGCTGTAACTTCAAATTTTCTTACATGAGAAGTCTTCAAGACAGAGGTCTTCACACTTACTGATGCATTCTTTTTGTCTTATTAACTGCAAAAGAGAGGCTGGTGAGGGAAGGACTGTTGTATAGCTGCTATAACGTAAGTGAGAACAGAAAATAACTTGTCTCAAGAATGTTCCACAACATTAAATGTAATGATAAATGAATAAAAAGTAAGAGGTGCTGTTCTTTAATCAATCAAAAAATAATAATAATTGGCAAGTTGCTGTGGTGTAAGAGGAGTAAAACACTTCAGGATATGTTTTAATAAGAAAAGAATCAGCTTTGGAGTGGTAACACCTTTGACACTTGCTTACTGAAAAGCGTTCACCCTATCATTTGGAGATTGCAAGTTCGAAACCCAGTGATGACATAGCGATCCATGGCTGGGAGCCAAGGCAGCAAAATTAACCATGCTCTCTGGGTGATAGGAGCATACTACAGCAACACTAGCCAGTTGTGAGCATCTGTGAGCTCATGAATGTGCTTGTTAGCCTTCACCTTCCCTGGCTGATAGCTGTTGTATGATAGAGCTGGCTGGTGGGTGGGAATTAGTGTGGTACAAACTCCAAATAATTTTCTTCTTAAATACCTAGAACCCGTTTAACATTTAGCTAAACTGTCTTGTGCTAGCTATGAAAATATTCATCAATGGTTCTTTAAGGGTTCATTGGATAATTGAGTGCCCTTTCTGATAGGAACCCTTTCTGATAGGGTTTTGCATAGAACCTTTAAGGCTTCCCCAGAGGAACAATAAAATAACCTTTAAGGAGTCTAAATTTTCTAAGAGTGTACAGATTCAGTGGATAGTAAGTTGAAAACTGCTGGAGATTTCCTTTAATTGTTTAATGATGCTTGTCACTGGAGAGGATACATCTTTTATACCTTTAGTTAGAGGTTAAAAGAGGTAGAGGTACCTTTGAGATTACACTTACATCACTTGTACCTCGAGGGCATAACAATATACCTATACAGTCCCTTTTTTCAGTGTATGAAGAAGGAGAAGTAAAAGTACACTATAGATAAAACCTGAGTATGTTACAAAAGAAATCAAATTGAGGTGAAAGAGAAAGAGAGAGAACAAGAGGGAATAGAGGATTATGTATAAATAATGGAGCTTTAGCAGGGTGCTGGGAGCAGATGTGATAGACAGTCTGTGCTTAAGGAGTTCAGACAACAGATGAATGGATTCCAGATTAACTCAGATTATATAGGGAGATGACTAAACCAGAGAGGGATGGGTGAGACAGAGAGACAGTAATCAAATACTTTCAATAGATACCTTTACAATAGATAGTAAAGATAAGCAAAAATTATGTTTATTTAAATAATTAAAAGAACTGAACAATTTAAGTGTGTGTCAGAGGTCCACTTCAGATGGTACCAAGAGAACTACATCATCTACAAATAACAGGGATGTTACCTTTAACCCCCATACTGGGCACCTCACCAACTTTGTCTGCATCTTGATATCCTGTCCACTAAAACCACAAACAAGGGCGCAGACAAGACGCAACCTTGACAGAGTCTGACATCCACCTTATGTGGTTTAACACCAAGAATTCAAACACAACTCTCACTGCGCTCATGCTGAGACCAGACTGCATGACGTAGTGACCCAGATTCCCATACTCCTTCAGTAGCTCTAACAACAAATGTTGAGGTACATGATCACACGGCTTCTCCAAATCCACAAAACACATGTAAACAGGAAGCGTACTTCCGTGACCACTTACAAGAGTAAAGAGCTGGTCCACAGTTCTCTGGCCTGGGTAGAATTTGCATTGTTCCTCCTGAATCCTAGATTCAACTATCGAATGGAGTCTCCACTCCAGAACACTGGCATAGGCTTTTCCTGGACGGATGAGGAGTGTGATTACACTATGATTGGAACAAACGCTCTGGTCCACTTTTTCAAAAAATATGGACCACCATCTCAGGTTGCCTGTCAAAGGGCACTACTCTAGATCTCCATGCAAAATTGAAGTGGTGTATTAACCACACAACCCCAACCTTGTCTAGTGCCTTCTAGGGCAAAATCTCATCCACCCCTGCAGTCTTGCCTCTATTAATGGTTCTAACCAATATAGTGACCTCAGCTATAAAGATCCAAAACACCAGGGATTTCTGGCATGGCCTTCTAAAGAGAGAGCATGTTCACTCAAGTGCTCTTTCCATCACTTAACAGTATCCTCAGTATAGGTCAACACTCGTCCACACTTTTTGCACATGGTGCAAGAGATTGCACATGGTGTTGGCTCCTAAGGTTTGCCCGAACATCTTTAAGGCTGGCCAGCGTTTTTTTCCATGACCTCTACATATTCATTCCATGACTGAGCTTATGTTTTGGCAACTGCAATTGCTGGAGCCCTTCTGGCCCTCCTGTATATCTCAATTAAATCAGAAGAGCCCCCCATGAGAATTACTCAGAAGTCCTCCTTCTTCAACTTGAAGGCTTCCCCTTTTTGGATACTGCAGTTTGCAGTTGCCTCTACAATTGAGGACTTGAACTTGGTCCATTAAGACTTACTGTCCCTGACCTTACTTGGTCCTTTTGAAGGTAAGAGCTAATTTTTTTCTCCATTGAAGCTTCTGCAAGACATTCCCAAGCAACTCAGAAGGCTCTCCTGGGTTTACTAGGTAAAGCTGGCTGGCACTGCTCAAGGTCAGATCTAGGGGGCTGTCCCCTCAGTAATGCCACTCCAAGTATCTCCATCATTCCCAACAGGAGCAGTGAAGCACTGTGGTGTTGGAATACCCTTTCGAGCACCTGCTCCACTTTCTCCAAGAAGGCTAAAGTGCTTCCAAACTACTATTTGGTGCATATGCACAAAAAACAGAGTTTTCCTTTCTGAGACTTGAAACTTCATGGAGGCAACCCTCTTGGCCACTGAGAAACACTCCAAATACTACATCCTCAGCTTGAGCCTGGTGAGTATCCCTAACCAAAGGCCTATCTCCTGTAGGAACTCTGGAGAAAGAGAGAAACCACCCCTGACTGAGATGTTTGGTACTGGAGCCTGTACAATGTGTAGATACAAGGTCACCTATATGTAGTCCATTCCTTTCCATGTCATACTAAGATCTCACAATTTCCCTTCTAGCAAAGTGACATTCCACATTCCCAAAGCCAGTTTCTATTGCCAGGTCTAGTCCATGTAAAACTGACCATCACATGCCTGGGCTGGTATTGTGCCTGACTCTTTCCTTTCATCTAGCAGGTGGTAAGCCCATAAGGTGGCTCCACATTTTGAGTTGAGCCCAACTGGGTTACATGGGTGGCGTTCAACTCTTGGTTTATATGTGTTTGGTTTAGCCACTCCTTAAAAGCTGCTTATTGCTCACAATTCCATAAACCAAACTAACTTTGTAGTTAACAATAGCTGTTCACTGTACCACTACATTCCCTCCAAAATCACTTCAAATCAGGACCATCCATAACCAGCAGATTTTTTTACTCCACCCTCAGAAAGAAAATAGCTCAATATTTAAGAAAGGAGATGAACAATGAGGCCCAGTCATTCAGGCAGAGTATTCTCTCTGCTCTTTGTTAAAGGGATCCTGTCACAAAGATCATTCCAATCAACAGAAGAAAATAATAATCCTACAGTGCACACACACACACACACACACATAAGATATACACAGATCAGTCATAACATTAAAACCACCTGCGTAATATTGTGTAGGTCCCCCTTATGCCGCCAAAACAGCTCTGACCCATTGAGGCATGGACTCCACAAGACCTCTGAAGGTGTGCTGTGGTATCTGGCACAAAGACATTAGCATCAGATCCTTTAATTCCTGTAAGTTGCAAGGTGGGGCCTCCACGGACTTTGTCCAGTAAATCCCACAGACGCCTGATCGGACTGTGATCTGGGGAATTTGGAGGCCAAGTCAACACCTTGAACTCATGT